TATATAATGTTTGGGGGTTTAAATTAATTTCCTAGCAAAAAACACAGATTTTTTTTTTTTTTTTTTTTCATGTGAACAAAAAGTGTCAGAAAAGGCTTCATCTTCAGGTGGTTAGAGTGGGTGATGCGTGGCATAAACTTCTAAAGCTGGGCATAAAATGCCCCCACCCCCCCTAAACGACCCCTTTTTGGAAAGTAGACGCCTCAAACTATTTGCTGAGAGACATGTTGAATCAATAAATTTTTTTTTTCACCACAAGTTTATGGAAAATGACAAAAAAAAAATTTGGGTATATGTAGAATTACTCCCCAAAATACATTCTGCTACTTCTCCCGAGTATAGGGGTACCACCTCACTACACTTCCTGACTACCTATCACAGTTTCGGAGGCCCTGAAATGCCAGGTTATCACCAAACCCCCCAAATGACCCCTTTTTGGAAATTAGACACCCCAAGGAATTTGATAAAAAGCATGGTGAGTATTTTGCAGATCTCCTTTGTTGCCACAAGTTTTTAGAAAATGAAGAAAAAAAAAACCAAAAACATATATTTTTCTTTTTTTATATTTCAACACCTTGTGAGAAAAAATTAGATCTGCAAAATGCTCACCATGCCTCTTTTTAAATTCCTTGGGGTGTCTACTTTCCAAAAAGGGCTCATTTGGGGGGGTTTGGTGCTATCCTGGCATTTCAGGGCCTCCGAAACTGTGATAGGTAGTGAGGAAGTTGCGCACCTTCAGGCTTTCAAAGTGGTCATTGGATTTCAGGCTTCTGTATGTGACTAGGCTTACAAAAAATCTCTTACATGTGGTATCTCCATACTCATTAGAAGTAGCAGAATGTATTTTGGGGTGTAATTCCACATATACCCATGGCTTGTGTGAGAAATATATAATTCAAATGACAACTTTGTGTAAAAAAAAAAAAGTTATTTTTTTTTTCCACAAATTTCTGGAAAATGACAAACACTTCCATGGACTCGATATGCCTCTCAGCAGATAGCTTAGGGTGTCTACTTTCTGAAAAGGGGGTCATTGGGGGGGTGTTTTACTATCCTGATATTTTAGCACCTCAAGAAATGTGATGGACAGTCAGAAAGTAAAAGCTGTATAAATTCCATTATCTATACCATAGTTTGTAGATGCTATAACTTTCACACAAAGCAATAAATATACACTTTTTGGGATTTTTCAACCAAAAACATGTAGAAAAATATATTTTGGCCTAAATGTTTGATGAAATTTTGAGTTTTTGGGATATTTTTTATGACAGAAATGAAAAAAAATATCGTGGGGTTTTTTTTTTGTTTTTTCAAATCTTTTTTTTTTTGTTTATAGCGTCAAAAATAAAAAGCGCACAAGTGATCAAATACCACCAAAAGAAAGCTCTATATGTGTGAAAAAAGGACATAAATGTAATTTATGTACCGTATTGCATGACTGCGCAATTGTCAGTTAAGCTAGTGCAGCACTGTATAGCAAAACAATGGCGCAAATTGCAGTATTTATACCATAGTTTGTAGACGCTAGAACTTTCACACAAAGCTATCAATATACGCTTATTTGGCTGATTTTTACCAAAAACATGTAGCAGAATACATTTTGGCCTAAATTTATAACTAACTGAGTTTACTGTATACTTTTTTTATAGCTGAAAAGTAAAAAATATAGTTTTTCTACAAAATTTTCTGTCTTTTTTTGTTTATAGCATGAAAAATAAAGTGCACAGGTGATCAAATACCACCGAAAGAAGGCTATATTTGTGGGAAAAAAAGGACGTAAATTTAGTTTGGGTTACAGCATTGCATGACCGTGCAATTATCAGTTGAATTAGTGCAGCGCTGAGTAGCAAAAAGAGGCCTGGTCATTAAGGGTGGTAAATCCTCTGGAGGGCAAGTGGTTAAAGTGGATTCACTTGATATTAAACAGCAAAAGACAAGGAGTGCCGCCACCTTAAGTGTAGATGTATTGATAAAAAGACATTAAAAATGAACTCACATTTATTGGCAGATTAAAAGCATGACATCCACTGTGAGAGGCTGCAGTGCCCTGCCTGCCTAGCCATGACGCTGCCAAGCTCTTATCCTTTTTATCATACATCTAGACTTGCGTGGTGGCGCTCCTTGTCTTTTTGCTTATTTTCCACTGAACCAGGTAGTAAAAGCAATCCTAGTATATTGTCACCTGATATTGTTGGTAACGAAGCATAGAAAGATAATACAATATAGCATTCAGGGTGATTAGTAATAAGGACTAGGCATAAGATGACACTTAAGTAAATTAAAGGAGTAATAGTGAGCGCTTGGTTGTATAGCCGCTTGCATTAAGGTAAAACCTCTCACCCTCAAAACGAATAAAAATATAAAGTGCAGCTCTTAAAATAAGTGACTGGTGTGAGCGCTTGATTGCGCTAACAGTGATATACAAGTATACAGTGTACCATCATATACTGACGTATGGATAAATGAATCAATGAATGAATAAATAAAGAGTGACTTTGGTGTTTGGTAATTAATGACATAAAAAACTGTTTTATACTCTGTTCCCATTTTTTCAATAAAATACTACACTATTAGCACCTTATTGTTTCTGGCTTGTTATTTACGACCCTCCAAGGTGGAGAGATTCCTGTTTTTCTGAGCTGTTTTATCCGGTGGTGTGAGCAGGGGCGGACTGACCAATCGAGCAATCGGGCACTGCCCGAGGGCCCAAGGTCAGTAGGGGGCCCCATGAGATGCCCCAGGTACCTTTCGTTGGCTTTTTTCATAGGATTTTTTGGTATGGGCGAGGACACAGGGGCCCCATGGTCCCCTATTGCCCAGGAGCCCCATGAGTTGTCAGTCCACCCCTGGGTGTGAGAGTACCATGGAGCTGTCCCTGGATGCTGAGAGGGTACTGTGAGAGAGGTCTGGAGTTGCCTTGTATGCTGACTGTGTGCCAAATGATTCTACCATCCCTACCTGTACCCAGATACATGCGCTTTATTTTTACGCTTCTGGTGAGTGCAATCCTATTACCAGTTCCAATCCCGGATTTCACCAACACGGATCACATGACTTTTGGACTTTATTTTGCTGATTTTATGTAATTACCAAACACCAAAGTCACTCTTTATTTACTCATTTATTGATTCACTTATACATACTTCAGTATATGACGGTACACTGTATACTTTTATACCACTTTTAGCGCAATCAAGCGCTCACGCCAGTCACTTTATTTTAAGCGGTGCATTTTATATATTTATAAGATGACACTTGGCGTCCAGATTAGCATAAACAGTAGCAATGTCACCTAAAATGCAGCAGTGAGCCCTAATAAAGCTTGATTTACTGAACACAGGAACTATACTGCCAAAGTGCATTAATGACACCTATGCTAGGCCTAGACCGGGTGTCGGAAACCCGCGGCTCCAGAGCCGCATGCGGCTCTTTTTCACCTTTGCTGCGGCTCCGGAGCACACTGCCCACCAGGTGACAGGCAATAGGGTTGCCGTAGCTACTCAACGTGGTTCAGCTCTGCCTCGCCACGAGTACAGTGCCTGGTGACGTCAGGCCGCCTGTGTGAGAGGGGGAGGAGTGACAGAGCCGAAACCAGCGTGAGCTAGCGTTGCATGAGCGTGAAGAAGAACACAGCACTGCGCGGGAGTGAAGAACAAAAAAAGGTAAGTTAATTTAACGTTTTCTATGAAAAGTAGTTCTGAGGGGGGTTAAAAAAATATTAATAGAAAAGTGACAATAATATAATAATATATTTATAATTTGGATTACATTGGGCCCTCATATTTACCTAAGGCTATGATTGTGATTATGACGATACACTGTGGCCCTGATTAACCCTTTGCTTACTGGGCCCTTAAACCCCCTTCATGACCAGAGCGCTTTTTGCAATATATGCAGTGTCGGATTTGTTTTAAATGTTGCAATGGTTTTGCGGCTCCCAGTCTTTTTTTCCCTTCGGAAACGGGTCCAAGTGGCTCTTTATGTCTTAAAGGTTGCAGACCCCTGGCCTAGACCGACTGGAAGTGCACTGTCCATAGAAATTCAGGAAAGGGAGCTTGAAGGATGGTTTTAAAGGGGGGCAGTCCTTTATGCCGTCTACTATTAGGGCCCTGTTAGGAAGCTTTGGTGCACTTTAACAGTTTGGATCAGCCAGAATGCAGTATAAGTTGCAATAAAGATGCAGTATAGGGGTGCCTAGACATCAGGTTTCAAAATCCTCATTCTTCTACATAAGAATCCATAGCATTTTTTGGCTATAGATCTCCCTCTGCTGACTGGAGGGGATAGTGCAATAACAGTAAAAGTAAACTGGATGTGAAGAGGGAATTGTCTCTGTAGTCCAGTACCTAGCTACTTAACTCAAATACTACTTTCTAATACAAAGTTGAGGAGCACTGTTGCTGATCAGCTTAAAGTGATTGCTATTTTTAGAAATACAAATTTAAACCTTTGCAAATATGTCATACTTAGCTGCTTACAATGCAATTGTACAGGGCAACGCCAAACCTCCTCTTCTCGGGTTCCCCATCAGCACTCCTCACTCCTTCCCTCTGCCCAGTGCCCCATAGCAAGATTAAGGGGCACTCGGTCAGGCTCTGTGTGTCCATAAGACACACAGATCAGGCCTTGCACCCAACCCCTGCTCCCTCCACAATGGCTGTGATTGACCACAGCGGGAGTCAGTGGCTCCTGCTGCTGTGTCTGAGCCAATGAGGAGGAAGAGAGTCGGGAGAGTCTCTGCTCTTGTCCATAGTGTTGGATCCAGGTAAGTATAAGAGGGGCAGGCGGAGGGAAGCTGCATGCAGAAAGTTTTTTTACCTTAACACAGAGAATACATTAAGATAAAAAAAAACCTTTCTGCCTTTAGAACAGCTTTAGGTTTTATTCATAGAATGGTCTATCTTTTAACTACATTTATTGTGCTACTACATTCAGGTTTAAAAAGTTATTGAACTGGAAACACTAATGGCATTGTATTTTTTTTTCACTGATGTATGTAGGCAGCAGCATTAGTTCATATCTACTGTGATGGTTCAGTTCTAGTATCACATGGAGGCACTGAGATGGGACAAGGCATTCACACCAAAATTACTCAGGTAAACTAAATTTTGCTTATTTTTATGTCTTCATTGTTCTACATAGATGATTAACTTTTTGCTGTCTTTGTATAACTTTTGAAATGACTGTTTTATTTATTTGTATTTATTTATTAGGTACTTATATCAATTTACGCAGTGCTTTACATATTTATTTTACATTCACATCAGTTCCTTCCCTCAAGGAGCTTACAATCTAAGGTCCCCGACTCACATTCATACATATACATATTAGGGCCAATTTAGACAGGAGCCTGTTAACCTACCAACATGTCTTTGGAGTGTGGTAGGAAACCTACGCAGGTACAAGGAGAACATGTAAACTCCAGGCAGGTAGTGTCTGGTTGAGATTCAAACAAACTACCCTAGTGTTGCTAGGTGGAATGTTATACAAAAAGATGCTATCAAATAATAGTAGATTGCATTGTATGGCTACACTGACAAAATATATATCCATAATAAGTTATACATTTTGATATTTCATGAATATCTTACGGATTTGTCTACACCAGTGGTCTCCAAACTTTAAACAGCAGAAACGTGGAAGCATTGCTTTGTAAAGGTGCTGTAGTAAGTGTGATCCCTATTGGTCTTATGCAGCTTGTCTCCTGAAGCCTGTCCCCAGTCTCCTACAACTCCAATAGCATGTCTGCTGTCTCTGACCATCTCCAGTTGCATGCCTGCTGTCTCTGACCATCTCCAGTTGCATGCCTGCGGTCTCTGACCATCTCCTGTTGCAAGTCGGCAGTCTGAATATTATGTGCAGCCATGTCAGAGGCTCCACTAGAGGCTCACTATATGAACAAAAATAACCACCACTGCTCTAGATGGTTAGATCAGTTAAAAGCATAAATTCATGCAAACTTGTATTACCCACCAGCAGGCCACCACTACCACTAGGCAGCAGCTTAGGGCGCAGCCAAGGCCACGGCCGCCGATAGGGCAGTACAGCTGGCCCTGCTGTAACATTAATTATATTTTCCCTTGGCCCCATCAGTTCACCAGAGGGCCCCAGGAGGCGAGGAGCTCGCTCTCTCTCCTTCACTTTCAAAATGCCGATAACCTTGTTCAAAATATCTCTGAACAAACTAATATGCAACAGAGCTGTGCAAAATCATAAGTTAACCACACACAAAGGAATAACCCTATACCATCTTTTTCTTCCTCAATGCAGATTGCCAGCCGTGAACTGGGAATACCTATATCATACATCCACATCTGTGAAACAAGTACCACCTCTGTCCCCAATACTATTTCCACTGCTGCCACTGTTGGGACAGATGTAAATGGGATGGCAGTTAAGGTATTTAGTATTACATTTATTATTGGTTGTAGCATTCAGAAAAAAATTCATACTGTATACACGTTGGTTATTATCATCTACAAATGTCTTTCAGCCTGCACAGCTGCAGAAAAATTACCAACACTGTTCTCGGTTATTAAACAACAATACAGAAGTCATAGAGTTGCAGTACATATGTTTCATTATAAACATTTGAAAAGGAAGAATGAGCTAATAAAAAATAATCCTCAATATTTGATTTTCCTCTTCACAGAATGCTTGTGAGAAACTTCTAAAACGACTTGAACCCATTAGCAGCAAAAATCCTGCAGGTTCTTGGGAAAATTGGGTAGGTGGATTTTTGCAGGAAAACTCTAAGCACAGTATTCTATTGAAATGCATACATGTTAACTTGGCAGATGAATTGATATTCTGTTCAGCTAGTTTTGTGATCCAGGCACCACTGGCAGAGAACAGCCAGGTTTGCAACAACCTGCAAATTACTGCAGTTAAAGTTGAATTACAGGTATGGTTATTTTTTTTACCATAGTTATATTGGTCCAACCAAAGTAATGATACAAATACCTAGCCAATCCCCCTGGAAGCTAGAAATCACTGTAGTAGACACTGGTACTACAGTGATTTCCACTAGCTTCTGGCTGCCCTGCTGCATTGTGAACACAGGCGGTCGCCTGCCCAGCACGCACGCCATTCAGTGAACACTTTGCATTTTGCAAATTAATGCAATGCATTTTCTGATTGGACCTGGTAGAGATTATGATGTCACCACCCCACTTCACACATTCATTGAAAAAATACAGTGTTCTCAAAATGGCACCCAAGCCAAGTGGGCAACCTCCTGTGTTCAGTAAGTAGCAGGGCAGCCGCTCTGCATGGGACCCGGGAGGTAGTGGTGATCATTGTAGTAGTGAAACCTACTGTAGTGATTTTCAACTTCCAGGGGGATCAGCCAGGTATGGCATATGCATAGTTACATTGTCAAAGCTGGACCAAAGTAACTATGTAAAAATATACCATGCCTGGAATTCGTTAATCCCTAGTCAGATATCAGGCAATCAAATAGGAAGGGGGTGAAGAGAAGGAAAGGTAAGCATATGCTGAGAAGGGGTAAAGAATTAATATAACCCTGGTTCTTTGTCCTGAATGTGCAAACCAGTTAGGGCCTATGTTGGGATAATGTATAAGGTCATATTAGATGCATTAATCATGGGAGTCCAGAGCTGCGTTGGGTATATTATCTTTGCACTTTGCATGGTTTCAAATTAAGACACACTATCTTCTCTGTAATAGGTCAGTGAAGCTTTTTTTCAAAGAATAAGCCTTTCTGCCACTGGATATTTCAGGTAAAGTAGTATACGAGTATATATTTTAAGATAAGGATCATCCAATGAACATGCTAATTACATAAAAAAATGTAAAGGCCAATTCTACCCAAGAACAGTATTTCAGATTTGAATGGAAACCTACAAACACAAGATATTGCCAGATATTTGGGCACTCTGTTTTTGAATATCCAACAGAGAAAGTAGCATTATCTGGCTTCACAACTGCCACAGCAACTGGGAAAAAACTGGGGATTTTTTTTAGGGGTGCTGCACCCCATACACTAAAAACAATACATTTTCCATCATGCTTAAGTGTTTTGTTTTGTTTTTTCCTCTCTCTCTCTATACTTGATTTGTGCTTTCACTGCACAGAATCTGTTCTTTTCCAATGTCACCAATATTACATATGGCCATAAGCATTAGTTAGCAATACAAAGGTCACTCTTACCACTTATAGTCAGCTTTAGAAGTCTGAAGTAGAAGTAAAGTGCTATTGTATAAACATCCATATTCATAGTTCTCATCTTGGACTACAGATTGATTAGCCTTTAAGTTATCGAGATCTGACAGTGGGAGTGGTTGAGCAGTTTAGCAAAAGACACTAGGCAGAGCTGAAAACATCAGTCCACGGCACTCATGAGCAGTGCACGATATGGCCGTTTGACCTCTGCGCTCCTCCACCACTGGGCACATTTAAGCTATAATAGGCCTCCTGGGGAGCTGAATCTGTCCCCCACATCTGTCCTCACCCTCTGCTGACCCCCCCCCCCCCCCCCCCCCCGATGCCACGCTGCCATGGGGAAAAAAAAAAAGCAGCCTCCAGCGCTCAGCTCCAGAGCCGGTCCGCCGATGCTGCCTCAATTTGGCCGCATCCCTGCCGCTGTCCTTGGGTCGCCCGGATGCCTCCTCGGGCCTGGAGAGCCTGCCAGACTACCCTGCCGACCTCCACCAGTCCCCTATGCAGGACACCGACCCCCCCCCCCACAGCCTTCCTTGCGGGCCACGGACCACCAACGGCCCTCCATGCGAGCTGCAGATCACCCACAGCCTCCCTTGCGGGCCGTAGACCACCCACAACCCTCCATGCGGGCCGTAGACCACCCACAACCCTCCATGCGGGCCGTAGACCACCCACAACCCTCCATGTGGGCCGTAGACCACCCACAACCCTCCATGCGGGCCATAGACCACCCACAGCCCTCCAAGCGGGCCGCAGACCACCCACAGCCCCCCTTGCGGGATGCACATCTCCTGGCTAAGTTTAAGACCATGCTGCAACAGGAGCTTCACACCTCCACTTCCAAACTAGCGAATCATCTCACCAAAGAAATTTGCGAATTGGGAAGCCGCACCAACGTTCTTGAAGATAAGATGGACGCCGCGGCTACGGTGATCAAAAATCACGATCAGGACCTTTCAGGCTCTCTTGTGCTTGGAAGATTTCAAGAATAGGTCCCGTTGGAGTAATCTCCGCCTACGCGGCCTGCCCGAAGCTATCGTTGACCTCACGTCTACTGCCACCGCGCTTTTTCAAGAATTGGATCCGGCGATACCAATAGACCGTCTGGAGTTCGATCGCATTCATCGGGCCCTGGGTCCGAGGAGGTCTGAGTGTCCTCCTAGGGACATCATAATTAAATTCACCTATTACCGTACGAAAGAATCGCTTCTCCGCTTTCCACTCTGCGCAAGACAAGCAGGATCTTTGCTTTCAAGGTCATCCGTATCAGCTGTTAGCAGATCTGGCACCATCCACCATCCAGAAACGTCGACAGATGAAACCCTTCACATCCGTCTTCTGAACCATCACATCAGGTACCAATGGGGCTTTCCATTTAAGCTTAGGTTCGCGTACCAAGGTCGGAGTTGTCATGTTGTCCACAATCCGGAAGAGGCCAAGTCAACCCTGGAGGCGCTACACCTTATGCCCTCGCGGGATGCCTCTGACAGTCCGGTGCGGCCCTCCGGTTCCCATCCTCCTTCATCTCAGCTGGGGCGTATTTGGGAGAAAATTGGCAGCCGTAAACGCTTTCTCCCTGGTACCCCTCCATTGTCCGGATCCTCCCGCTCCGATCCAGGTTGAGTATGGTTGGATGGGTAAGATTTTTCACTTTTTTAATGGCTTGTTCCACTGAAGTGACTCTCTGCGTTTCTTATGAAGCGGAAACCTTGACTGGCCCTTTCTGGGCGAACTTTCGTATGTTTTTGATGTTGATGTTGCTTATTTTTAGTTTTCCAGTCTGCAATAACTTTCTATGCAATATTGATCTGAATTGGTAGTGATCCTCGATTCCCGCCGGCTCCTTGTGGTCCAATTATAAGTTGAATTTTTCATCTTATTTCCCCCCCCCCCCTTTTTTTTTTTCTCTTTTTTCTTTTATATATGGATCCCCGGCTCCCGCTGGCTCCTTGGTTTTTTTTGGGGGGGGTTTTTTTTCTCTGGTGTTATTGTACCTTTTTATATATACCGGGGGCCTCCCTGGCTCATGGTCACATGCCTTATATGATTGGGAGCGGCTTCCGATCTAACAGGGCCGTGACCCGGAGATTCCTCAGTTTTATTTTCCTGATATGTTTGTGTACCTGTTTACATTCTCTTTATGTGTTATGGCGTTATATTATGCATTATTAAGGTAATGTAATTGACGTCTTTTTTTGCCTGTCTTGTCCCCCCCCCCCTTTTGTTTTTTGGGGGGTTTTTTCTTCTTCCTTTCCCTCCCCATGAAGGTTTTATATATTATGTTGGTTATGACGCACCCTTGTGCCCGGTGGTAGAGCCACCCCCCAATGTGCGCCCTTATGGTTAGGTTGCAATTTCCACTGAGTGTGGTTTCGTTGCACTATCTTAAAGTGTACGATTTCTTCTTCTGTCTCTTGTTTTTTGTCTGCTTTCTTCTCCCTCTTTTTTTCTCACGGATCTGGGGCAGCCGGTGGAGACTTAATGAATCCCTGCTCACCACTCAGGCTTCTTCCTCCCAGGTTCTCTCGCATATTCAATCCCATTTTTCAGATAATGTGGGTTCTGTATCCTCAGCCGTCAATCTGTGGGAAGCCCACAAGGCTACCATTAGGGGTCATCTAATTCAAATTGCCTCGTCCAGGAAACGGGCTAGAGAGAAGAAGATGTTGGAATTGACCTCGAGATTGGCCGTGGTGGATGCTACTTGGAAAGCCCGTCCGACTACGGCCAATAGGAAGGCTTGAGATGTGGTGGCTGCTGAACTTGATCTTCTTTCCACCACACAAGCTGAGAAGGCTTTGCGTTGGGCCGGACATAGGTTTTACACATGCGCTAATAAACCTGGGCCAATGTTGGCCAAGAAACTTAATTCGCTTGGTCGCACGCATAAACCTGTTCAACTTCGCATGAGGGGCGGTGGCCTTACCTCGGACCCTGTGAAGATTACTCATAGATTTGAGGATTTTTTGCCCTCTCTCTACCAAAAACCGAACACCTTTGTCGCCGAACATGCTGATAGCTTTTTTGCTGAATTACACCTAGCCTCTTTATCAGAAGCAGCCTGAGATGCCCTGAATGCGGATATCTCTGAATCTTAACTCTACCAAGCCATCAAATCTTTGAAGGCCTCCAAGGCTTCAGGACCAGATGGGTTTTCTGGGCTCTATTATAAAAAATTTGCCACCGTTCTGGTTCCTCATTTGGTGGCCTTTTTCAATTCTTTGAAGCAGGGTTCCTGGCTTTCCTTGGAGTCTCTTCAGGCGCATATTACTATGATCCCTAAGAAAGCTGAAGATGCCTTTGACCCGCAAGCATTCAGACCGATCTCGCTGCTAAATGTGGACTTAAAGATTCTGGGAAAGATTCTGAACACCCGAGTTAATAAGTATCTAATCTCACTTATTCATCAAGACCAGGTTGGCTTCGTTTCCGGGGCGACAAGCTGCTGATAACATCCGTAAAGTCATCCATCTCATTCATATTTTACATCGCCGCAGGATACCAGGGTTTCCTTTATCCCTATACATTTACAAAGCGTTCGATTCACTTTCTTGGGAATACTTGACATACACGCTGTCTAGATGGGGGTTTGGTGACGCATTTCTGGCTTGGATCTTGGCTTTATATTCGTCTCCCTCTGCCTCTATTAAATATGCAGGGGTTTTTTTTTCTCCCCTTTCTTCCCTATTTTCAGGGGCACAAGACAGGGATGCCCATTATCACCTGCCATTCGAAATCACCCAGACATCTCTGGTGTCCCCTATGCCGGCATTCAATACAAGGTCAAATTCTATGCGGATGATGCCCTTTTGGTTTTAACTAATCCTCTTATCACTCTCCCCAATCTCCAAGTGATATTGGACCATTTCTCGACTATATCTGGCCTTCATATCAATTTGTCTAAAACCACGGCATTGAATATTATGCTCCCTGCTGACCTGGTTGAACGGTTGCAGACTCCATTTTCCTACCATTGGGCGTCCCGATCTCTAGCTTATCTTGGCATTACACTTACTTCCTCCTACTCTGCCTTATTCTCGGCCAATTATTACCCTTTACTGCGCTGTGTTACTTCCCTGCTTCATTCTTGGCAGTTTCCTTCTATATCATTGATTAGCCGGATACATGCTGTTAAGATAACTATTCTACCAAAGATCTTATACTTCTTCCATACTCTCCCTATTCATGTCCCTGCGTCTTTCTTCCTGTATTACAGAGCCGGATTCTCAGTTTTATTTGGGCTTGTAAACGTCCCAGAGTGCCTAGAGCCAGTCTGTGTATACCCATAGACTACAGGGAGGTTTGGGAGTTCCACACGTTTCTAGATACTGTTTGGCGGCTCAGATTTCCTAGTTGTCTATGCTTCATGCCAAGACTGATATTCCATTGTGGGTACTCTTGGAATTACCCAACTGTTCCCCGTTTTCCTTAACTACATTACTTTGGCTCCCGCCTAAGTTGCGCCCTCTGGATTTGAGCCCTATTATGCTTCACAGTTTGAGAATTTGGGATTCTGTTAAATACTCGTGGATTTTGATTTCGGCATTCCTACTCCTTT